TGGGCCCGTGGCACCTTCCTGCTTAGCTGGCTGTGGCGACAGTAGGTGGGGACGCAGGCCTTATCTGCTTTCTGGGCCGGGTTCACAACCTCCATGGGACTTCCCAGGGCCGCCCCAGCCAGGGGATACTGGGCGCAGGAAGGCCTGACCCCTGGCGGCTCTAGCTGTGTACTCTCGGTGCTTCCTCCCTGCCCACCCCACAGGCATTTCCAGCACCTTCTCCTAGGAGCTGGCAGAGCCACCCTTGAGCTGCAGCTCAGCCCCATTATGTCCCCTCTAGACCCTCCCATGACCCCCACTGCCCCCGGGGCCAAGCCCAGGCCTTTGAGCAGCTGCTGTGTGGGCTCAGGGCCCACCCCTGCCGCCCCAGGGTTTTTTTTTCCCAGGAGCCTCCCACAGCCCCCACACCTGGGCTCCCTCGGCCGGCACTCCTGTTTTTGTCTTCTCATCCGCCCACTCCCCCTCCGCTCTGAGATTGGATCCTTGCATAGGCCATCGTGTCTGTGCCGGGTCGGTGAGCAGTGGCTGAGAAGGCAGTTAGTAAGCCGGAGCCAGCGCGGGGGTGAAGGGACAGACTGCAAGTCACAGCTCAGGCTGACAAAGAACACGTCACGTCTGATGTCTGAGGCCTGCCCAGGATCTCTCGGGGAGGTGAGGCGCCCGGCACGGCGGCACACGAGCGGCCCATCACATGCTCCTGAGGGCGTGCTGCCCTGGGCCTGTTAGAACCAGAGCCCTCCTGAGCCACCTGTGTTTCCGAGTGCCCAGCGACACTCCACCAGGGGAGCCCCAGGTGGCCTCCTACTGAGGCTCTGCTTTGGGTCTCAGCCAGGCTCACCCCTCTGGGTTCGCCGACCCCTTCCCCTGAGCAAGAGCCCGCTTCCTGAGGGAGGGGAGCAAGCGCAGAGCACCCGCTGCAGGGCCGCGTGGGGAGTGGCCGGGATCCGGGGGAAGACCGGCCTTGGGCGCGCTGGGAGAGCCCCTTGCTCCTCTCTTCTCTGGGCCTTCGTTCCTCCCGCGGCCTCTGAGGGCCTCTCTGGCCTGCCCTGACCCAGGTCACGCACGCTTGGTGAGCAGGTGGCCCTGGCCCTGTAGGGACCTGTCTTAGTGCCAGGCAGTGCCCCGGAGTGGAGCGGCAGTGCTGGGAGCCCTGCAGAGCACAGCGGCCCAGCTGCCGCGTGTCCAGAGGCCGGCTGGTCCCCACCTTGGGGTCCTGCCCCTGCCGTCCAGCGGGTCCTTCTAACACGAGAACACACTGCCTTCCTGCCTGAGGCCCGC